GACCCTTACGCGATGTTGATGTTTTTGTTCTACCACGAATAGCACTCAAGCTAAAAATCCACCTGAAGGCAGTGTCATGAATAAGTCATACGATCAAAGTGAGGAGCTATATAATAAGTAATAATAAATTTAAATAAATAATATAAGTGAATTTCTTAAAAAATATAATTATTATACCTAATCAAGCAGGGAATTAATATTTTTGATAAAATAATGTCGAACGTCACAAAATATCTGGTCTTGTAATTATAGCTCAATGAATAAATAAAGAAAATTAGTTTTATCTTCATGTTAATTTATTTTAAGTCCCATACCTATGGCTCACGGTGAGCTGTTGAATATTCATGCCTTTGTTTCATTACAAATTAGGGCGAACGGTGCGAGCAATCAGGTCATTATCTTAGACTTGTTAATAAAGTTAAAATAATTATATTTAGAACAAAATTTAGATAAAACTATCGTGAAATTTATTTGTTATACAATATTAATGTAACATAAAGTCAAAACATCCAATGGCTTTTACCATTACATTAACATTTTATACAAATGATGCAATAAAACAGAAATAAAATAAATTCTTATCTTTATAATAAGAAACTTCAATATAATCCAAACAACCTTGCACCTGTTACAACTAGATATATCTATGTTAATGTACGGATTCAATTTAGAAACTAGATAGTATAGTATACTAAATTATTTGACTAAAATCAATTTAGTCAAAACACTAAAGTTTCTATTAAAATATAACGATAACTGTACTCTCTAAAAAGCCCATATATAAGTGGAAAAATGTTCTATATGGTAACGCCAAAAGTTCCTCACTCTAAGATTACTAAAATTAATCAAAAGTTTTTCAGTTCTCAATCTTTGCCGTCAAGCCTTAATGTGCCCTAGTTTTCTATGAGCTCTCTATTTGAAGTATTTTGAAGGCGTCAACTTTCGCTCGGGGTAAGTTATCGTCCGCTGTAATTACGATTACATGCCCTTCATAAGACAAATGTGAAATAAATTGTATTAGTCCAGTGATTATTGTAATAAGATGTAATTTTTTTGTAGACCTACTAGAAATTAACGGAGGATAATGGTTAAAAAAGTTCGTATCATATAGCTCGATATTATACGATATCTTGTTATAGTAATTGAAAAGACTTCATGCTTATGTGGTCGTTAATCATTTTTGTGAAACTATACAACTTTTAGTAAGATATGTGGGATCTGTATGTAGGGAATAGTTTTGGAATCATTCTTTCAGACATACGCTCGGATTCTATGCAAGATTTATTAGAAACATATTTTAGTTGGCCTATGTCATTCGTTTATAGGGATCTAAAATGTATTTTGGTATTTTAAAGGCCTGTACTGATAATTTCAAATTCTACCCCTTATTCTGTGTTTGGTTTACTCGTTATGACTACTCCTACTACTATTATCAAAGTAAGTGTCAAAGTTTATGAGGATGGATATTTGTTACTCTTTCACGAAAAACAATTTAGAACGAAATATATCCTAGATATAGAGAGAATTTTTTCCGTTCACGAGGACAGCGGGGCGGGATCTTACCTATATACATTGTTATAAGTAGGTTGAAAAATTTACTCCGTCGTATTTATACGCTGTTTTTCTTGAACATTGAATAAGCGAGGTGAATTACATCAGACTGCGGTAGAAGTCCGCAGTGCTATTACTAAGAAAATTGAACAACAACATTACATTGGCTTGTAAGTTTACTCTGGTCTTTTATTAAAATCTGGGCCATCTGCAAGTATATAGACGAAAAAAATATAATAATATTTTATATTATTCATACTTATAGAGATTTCATTAATCTTTAGCTAGTTTCCGGAGATTTCTCCTCCTATATTGACAAAAGAAAGCTTATAAACATAATTGTGAGCAATTATTTCTTTATGTATATTCTAATACAATCCATATTTTTACATTTACATCAGTAATGATATATGTAAATGTAAAAATGTGTCTGTCTGTCTCTTTGATATTTTTTTATAGTCGTATATATACGTATACATTGATTTAAATTTTATTTATATATATATAAATTAAAATTTACTGCATCCAAACGAAAATAACACATTACACCCTATAATAAGAATACATAATAGGAACATAATTATTATATTACATTTTTTTATAGTTTATGATGTATAAATTGATATTCACAGATGTTACACGAACACGTCCTTGTAGACAGGAAGACGTAATGATTGGTCGCGTTAGTTAATATGACTCAACGGGATGTAGGCACGTCTGTGTTCAGTCTACAACTGCTTAAACGGGCCTATTGTCTTCGCCAATATTTTTAAACAGTCGCTATACGTGAAGCAACAATGGTAATCAATAATGAAAGTGATAATTTTAACATGAATCTAATTACGTACACTGAACGTGGCAGTAATAAATTTGTTCGCAATTAAATTACATATTCCAGGTACTTTAGAATTTATAAATGAATTTGATGTTTCTTGAAATCGTCCTAACTTATTTCACATAGGGAGTGAATTCGAATTTGGAACCAAAAACGCTTAGTGAAAATTTATATTTCAGACTCACTCTCCAGTGATAGAAACACAGAGAATCAAATTAGTGCAAAGAATGGCTGTTGATTTGCCCCTGCCAGACTGCTATGCTGGAGACGAAAAGGTCCAGCAAAATCTCTATGTACCGTCATTATACATATGTAAAAAAATTAGAATATGTATCTCTCTGTCGTTACGACTCAACGGTTGAACCAAAATTAATGAAATTTGTCATGAAGATAAACTGTATACGAAAATGAGCATTATCTAGCTATCATAACAAAAACTAATTTGGATACAACTGAAGTCGGGCGAAACAACTAGTTACAGTAATTTTAATCTGAAAAAAGATGGAAACAGGTACTGATTAAACGAATTCAAAATAGTATTACGTGTAGTGGAGGTAGCTAGTTTTACAGTGCTTATAAAGCAAACTACAGTAATTCATACTTTACGACACCAATTACCTATACATACTTTCATGACATAATAAGCTGAATACAATTACGTTGACGTTATTTTTCTACACAAATATTATAAACTAGCTGAGCCCGTGACTCTGTATAAAATTTTAGTTACATTAGTGAAAACGTACTCAAAGCGGTTTCTGATATAAGCGCACTAAAACGCACATACAGCAACTGCTAAAATTTCTAACAATCATTATTATTTTTTTTTAAACTCCAATTGTGTCAGTAAAGTCTTACAATAATAGTTTTCGAATATATCTTCCATATACAGATAGCAATCAGTTAGATAATCTCATAAAATCCTTTATAATAGAAGAAATAAAAGATTATTAAGATTAATATCATCCACTTTGGCCAATATATATTGGTACAATTTTTATAAAAGCGTCTCTTAAAATCCGATTCTTATAAATCTAACGATGTCAATGAAGAGAGAATTAACATTCACTTAAAATATAATTTTTAATTTAAGAGACCGACTTTGTCAGACATTTTTAAGACTTATTTTCTACTTTGCCTATCAGCTCTGTGGTTTTAAGGACAGATGCTCTGATGAATACTCTGAAGAAGAAAATTATCGCGAAAGACGAAATCAAAAAGTTTATTAAATTCTCGTATAGTTATAATAATACTGGTACTTGCACTTTTAGATACGTTTAAGAAATAAAAGTTTAATTTACGGCAAGAAATTGCCTAAGACCATTAGAGTGAGGATAAAGCGTCTATCGTCCGTTTAAGAGTTCTTTGTTAGCGATGCACCCGTGTGGGCGAAGTCTTGAGTCTCCGACCCGCGCCCACTCCCTGACCCTTCCTACGTCTTCTTTATAGTCTTGTAATACGTTCTAAATATAATCTAGGAAGAGATTCCAAACTTTACGATTATTGGATTAACCGCCGCTTTTGTAGTGATTAAATATATGTATTAGGGCCGTAAAAGAACGACGAAGCAGTAACTCTATGTACTAATTAATAAGCCAAGTAGTATTAGTTACAACAGTTATGTTAGTTATCGTTACATTACTTTTGATACAATTGGCACCAATTGGCTTGTGTTTGGTGTCTGTGATTGTTCTTTTTTTTTAGGTAGCTACTGTTTTTTATCGTCCTGCTGAAGAGTAGGTTCTTGTTTTTTAAATTTACAATAACAAAGTAGATTCATTAACTAGGTAAGTGAAATAACCAGTAACTACAAGCATTAAAAAAAAGACATGTATTTCCTCACAGGATATGTACTAGTTACTGTGTACTCAGTAAGGACCGCCTGTAATAGCTCTAACACGTCCTGTGCTTTATATTACAATATAAGGTTGTGTGCAAAATAGCCTCTTGGGTGTTATGGAGAAATAATTGAAATGTGTCGCTACGTAGAATTCATCGCACGTGTGGCATCGTGCCAAACTCCAGTTTTCGATGTCTTTACACCCATGAACTTTACACAAACACTTTCACACTCAATTCAATCACATCTGATTAGCGGTGCACTGAATGATTAAGAAGCTAGCTAGAAATTGAAATTCTAAATTAAGCGTAAGTAACGAAATAACAGATAAATTATTTACACTTTAGCTGTGTCCTAACCTAACCTAACCTATAAATACCCTATAATACCGATGCGTTATTCTGATTTTTAAGCCATATTACTGTAAAGTTTCATCAAAATTCGTTCACTAGTTTTTACGAGAAAGAGTAAAAATATCTTTCCATAATCACAAAAAGGTTTATTGAAAAATACTTTATGTTCCATTAACAATAATATCGCTTTAATGTATCTCTGTAAAAGTAGGCGTTAAGTATATATATATATATACTCATATACTTACATAATGTAACATAAAAAAAAACGTATTTCAAATATAAATGCTTTTTTATGAAACCTTATAAAAAAGCATTTATATTTGAAGATTTATAAGTTTAATAAACAGTAGATAGGTAGAATTATATCTTACAATTATTATATATATATATATACATATATATTTTATTAGTCACCAACCTTGCTTTCTAGAGTTCCTTTATTTTCAATCGCATACATAATAGCTTCTGAGATCTTGCCCTCTATCTCTCGGATGTCCACATCAGCGTCAGCTCGGTCTAATCTCTCCATCCCCTCCACGTATCCGGCCCAGGGAGCATCCAGTTCTGCTAGTAGCGAGGTTATGCACCTATTAACAAAATATCAATTAATTACTACCAACTTCATTATTACAATTATCTATACATTAAAACGTGAAGTAAAAACTTTATATAAAAATTGAAATGAGAAGTATGAAATTTCGCACACATTTTATGTAGCATAGCAGGACCATAGAACGCTAATATGCTCTTTAAATTATGCATAAAATATTTTTTTCTCTTCATGGTAGTTTGTGTAATGTTTTTTATTAATTTAATATATTTTTTATGCAAAATTTAAACCAATATTTGCCTTTTGCACTCCTCTATGTACACTATAAGTGTCTCCGTCCACGCATTATCGTAAAAAGGGGTAAAAAGCTTTTACTTTACATATTGATATTCAATTAACCATATTATAATCATTACCTTTTACCGTACTTCATTGTTATAGAATGTGTTTGTGAATTTAATTGATTAAAATTTGCTATTCAACTGACATTGCTCGATTACGTAGCACGCTTTAAGAGGCGAAAAATGCCTGGAAACAGGCATTTTATTTTAAAGTAGAATCAGTATGAACACAATGTTGTTTCTTTATAGACACTCAATTCACATGATATTTGTTACCAACCCATCCGCTCATAGTCAAAAAGAATAATTTCAGGATAAGGAATAAGAATAATAGCAACACTCTTTATTGTGCACTGAAAAATAATTACAAAAGTAAAGTTAACCTAAATGTGCTAAACAAAAGACGATCTTATTACAGGGGAAGAAAGATTGAAAGGAGTTGAATAACAAATATCTCAATAATGGTTTCGGTGACGTGGTGGGACATGACCCGATTATACTTGATAATATTATAAAAGTATAAAAAAACTGAAAACAGATTTAATTATATCATGTCTGCCTAACCTGTTCTTCAGTAATATACTGTAGAACAGGTTAATTAAAGCGGCTACACATGTTTCTTGTTCACATCGTACAGCGAGAACAATTTTAATTAAGAGTATTCCAACGCCTCGGAGTATTTCCCCACTTTTTGTTTTGCTTACACACTTGTCATCTTTTTTATAATCAGTGTAGGTAGTGTAGTTTTATATATATAAAAATTATATATGTAAATACCAGCTGTGCCCGCGACTTCATCCGAATGGATATATATGTCCTTAAAAATATAAAATAATCTAATCTTAAAATGCCTAATAAAAAAGTTTCATCATCGTTCTAGCTTCATAAATGACTAACTTCTATACAAACATTTATCCCCTATTTTATTAATAATGATTGAATGAAATACTTTTTTATAATATTAGTAAGGATTCTTGTCATGATACTACTTTTTTAACAAAATTTAATTAATAATAGAAAGTTAAGAAATCTTAGAAAAATTTTCATAAATTATAACTAAGGTATAACCACAGTATTGATCACGACAGTTTTCAAAAAGAGCAAGAGAGTTTGATGCCTTCGACATAAAAACAGATACCACGGATAGACTTATCTTAACATTATTACATCAGTTTTTTATGGGAGGTTAAAAGTAGAATCTCAAAAATATTAACACATTAAAAATACAATTTTCATCTCAATAATTTAATACTACAAATACCGACATGTAATATTAATATTCTATATATATACGGCCAGAGTCATACTTTTTTTGCTGTTATAAAAATTAATTACATAAAACTAGAAAGGTTAATGCCCTATGACGTCATCTTAGTTATAATTGCATACACAATCACTATACCTTTTTGAAATGTAATAACAATTAAGCATAGATCAGTAAAAATTTTTATATAATAAATTTATATTTTATATAATTAATATATTTTTTAATAAATAGTGCGTTTTACATTCCCGCTATAATCTGACAAGTCTATAACGGGAATGTAGGGTATAATTGCATTCTATAGGAAATTCCAAATATTTTTTTCTAGAACATTCTTTTGTAGGATCTTTGTGTCATATACAAAATTTAGGTTCGGTAGTTGAGACTACCTAAATGTTGAGCTTGTTCTTTGCCACTTTTATCTTAGTATAGATTATGAACTTGTAGTGTTCACATGCAAAGTCGTTGCAAGCTGCTTTAAGTTTGGCTATAGCGAAAACTTAATTAGAACTCCTTAAACATTGCTAAAGTTCATTAAAGATGCATTCTGTTGCACAGCACGAAGGGGTACGAATATTTGCATAGTGTAGATGTAAACAATTGCCTAAAACAAGACTAGGCCAAATATAGAACCACTCGTTGATCTAGTTATTTAGCACACACCTTTACTTCCGATAGTTGCGGGTTCAATTGTTAATAAAATCACGTTATAAGGAGTAACTTAGGCTACTTTATTTTTGAAATTGTATTTATTTTGATATAAAAAAAAGTTTATTTCCAAGCGGACGAAGCCGCGGATAATAGCTAGTTATTAATAGTTTCAGTAATTATTATTTTCATCTGTCATACTCCTGAACGTGTGCTGCTTGTAGGCACTGGTCTGTTCTGGTTACGAACACTGATTACACTATTTGCTTTTGACAAAATTGCAATACTATATGCAGGTAGTCACTCTATTCTCCCAAATTTGAATTTAAAAATGAATATGTATTATTGTAAACAATATTTGAAAAGAATGCGAGAAGAGTTTCTTGTCAGTTCTTCTTATTTTGAAAGCATTCCGAACTGACGGTAGATTTCTGTAGAGTCTGTAAAAGACCTACACGAATAAAGATATTTTTATTTGAATTCTTACCCTCTTGCAACGTTGATGCAGAAATTTCGACAAGGTCTAACATCAAAACCTTTGCAATACGCGCACCCGCCAGCTATGAGTAGGTGGTTGGCGCACTCAGAGCCTCCAGTTGTAGACAGAACGTGTTCACTGGCAGCCAAGACACCAGCGCCCGCTGCTAGGGCTTCGAGGAGTGCCCGTGCCGCTTTCAACGAATGAGACAGTGATTTGCCCATCTGAAACAAGTGATAAATATCTATAATATGATAAGTAATCGATATTTATCTAAGTCTAAGGTTTAATCGTTCTTTATCTACCGCCTAGATAAAGAACGATTAAACCGGTTTCATTCCTAATTTATTTATTTATTTATCTAATATTTTGTAAAAGGTTTTTATAGAATGAAAAGAAACTTATTTACGTTATCACGTAAATAATTTTTTTTTTAATTTTAATGGTGAAAATTAATAGCTACTAAAGTAGTCATTAAATTTCTGAAATTTCTTCTTTCACGTATTTGACTACACCTGTCAGGTCGTAAGAAAGAAATGTACTTCTTCTACGACTATTATCCCGATGGGGTGCTTAGAGGCATTAACTATTGAAGTTCGGTGGTAAGGGGGTAATTATTAGTAAGGGGGTGATTGTTAATTATAGTAATTGACAACTTCATTGCTAGCAATGAATTAAGTCAGGTCAATCTCCATGCAGTCCAATCTAGAGAATATTGTAGTTAAATCCTAATAAATTCGCCTCGATGAGTTAAAAGACCTATCATCCACTGGTGTTCAGCCAGCGTATACTGTTAACGCGAGTGAATGCATCCTTCCATTATTAGCCAACTGTTTGATATATTGAGAGTAAGCTTACCGTTGTATCTTGGATTATCAGTTTGATATATAAATTTTTCACAAAGTTTTTTTGTATCAGCCGGATACGAACTTACAACCTTAAGTCTAAGTTCTGGTAGTAAACCACTACATATAGCCTAGTAAGTGGTTATACTCTCTCATAATGTTATAATTATAATTGCCTAACAACCCATAAAGGGAGGATAACGATTTTCGGGTGAGTGTATATTGGAAATATTGGCATAACTTTAGGGTAATGGCATAATGAATATTAATATATTGCCTATGGTTATTAATTTTAATCATCTTATACGAATTTAGTACAAAATCTTTATACATAAAAATTACCTAGTTACTCATTGCTATAACCAATTCTAATTATAAAGATTATTTTTAGGTGGTAATTTGATGTGGGAATAATCTATAGATATAAGTAAAATTGGAGTGTCTATTTGTAATATTAAAATAAACGTTTTTTACTACATATAAATACGGTAATTTTTGTCTGTCTGTCTGTTTGTTCCGCCTAATGGCTAATCTGAAATGGCTGGACCGATCTTGACGGGACTATTTTTGGCAGGTAGCTAATGTAATAAGGAGTAACATAGGCTATTTTTATTTTAGAAAATAAACTTAAATTCCACTCGGACTATGTCGCGTGTAATGCTAGTTTAACACAAATTACAAGAAATTCAATTGTTTGGTTTGGGTTTCAAGCATTCTAGGTTCTGAATGCGTACCTTTAGGAATATAGCGTGAGGATAGATCGATACTAATTCAACACATATGAGACTTTGAAATTCTTACCTTTTTAGGCACATCTCCAAAAGGCGCTACAGCATTGTATGCGCTCTTCAAGCAGTCTTCATATGACGTTGTAAACTGCTTCGATTCCAGTTTTAGTACATTCTGATATGCTACCGGAAATAATTCAACGAAGAACTTTCTAGTGCTATCAGACACATCCGTGGCGTGCTCTCTAGAGGTGTTATTCTCAGGTGTTCGTAGCACTGTTCGGATGTCGTCGTAGAGGACGGCCAGAGGGGCGTGCGCGCGCGAAGCATGTTCCCGGTACAGTTGCGTTAACAGTCCAGCTGTTTTATTCTGCGACTGATGGGACAACGCTATCAGATGTTCTGTGAAATAAAATAAGTATGTAATAAAGAAATTATATGTATAATACTGTAAAAAGTCGTTTGCATTGGTACCTAGGGTTACTATAGAGTCAGGATTAGGTAGTGAAATTACAGGATACAAAGCATGATATCTTAGTCCTCTTAAATATCAACACCTGAGTGGTATCGAGGGTGTCACATAACACTTACCATCAGGTAGGCTGTCAGTCTATTTGCCATTCCAATTACAACAAAACAAATAAATCAAAAGCTTTTTTGGTAAATTATTGTGCATCTCTTTCTATTTTCCTCATAATTCTAACAAATTGCTTGAAATTACTCGAAAGTTAGTTAAAAAAAGCGTTTGAAAATTGTAATATCTATATACAAAGATAGCCATATTTACATTACATCGTCGTAAGTCTTATCATAAATCGTATCCCAGTACCGTACACCACACGTATACACGTACCATTCCAAAGTATGTTTCATTTCCCTATAATTTCATTAATTCACCAACCAACCTTATAAAGCAAGTTTTTGGCTGTAATATAAATAATCTTTTTTTTTCAGCACTAAATGTGGTAGATTTAAGTAAGACAAGTTTGTACAAAGTGTATCTTAGTAAAGGTCTATAGGTAAATTGTTATTCTATTAGCAATATGGATAATAAATATGCAAAATGTTAACATACAACTGTTAGATCAAATAAATTGTGACTATTCAAAAAAATATTATGTACTTGTATTAAGTGTTTACATTAGCATCTAGTGAAAAGTTGTCTAGACAGTAGTCTAGTCTATTTTACACTGTGTCTAGACTCCAGACAAACGTTTCAGTCTGCAGTGTTGTTAAAATAAATTGTTTATTTTAACAACACTGATTATAAACGTGTTGCACCTAGATGTAACATATATATCAATGTATCTACTTTATTACATAATTAGCTGTTACATCCCCTCCGATCGCCAGTCGAATTCAAATGGAGATCGAAATTACAACGGCCTGAGCTGAGGTTCGAACCTAAGCTATGCATTCAGACTAAAGTAAGTAAGTAAAGTACTCGCAATTAGTAAGTAAGTAAGTCGTTTATTTGCATTACAGACAGATATAAGTAAACAATTAAGCTACAGTGATTATATCAGCAGGCAGCGCTGTAATATGCCTTTTTACAGTAGGCATGCAAATTTTTATTACTAATAATGTTTTTACAATTATTATTATTATTAGGCAAGAGTTGTCCTTTAGCCTCTGTATAAGTCTTTATGCAGCTTTGGAGTTCAATATGAAATTATCGTTCGGCAAAACTGTAAAGGCCAGCTGTGGCTAAAAACATTAGAATAGTTATATTTTTTTATATAATTAAAAAATCATGAGTGACTTCATCTGCTTCCAGATTATTTATTGAGAGAACAAATTGACATATGTAGATGTTCTTTCTTGTATATCATTTATCTTCGCCTTTTTCATACAGACTTTGTTATATTAGGTATAATAAACAAATAGACCCACGTTCGCATTGTGCATATAAAAATAGTTGTTAGCAATTCTCAATTCAAGATAATATCGATGAATTCGTACGAATAGTAAATAAAAATATAAAATACGAACTTTTTGGGGTTCCAGATACAGGTTAAGTTAGCAATTGCAAATGATCTTTTTAATCTTACTAATATATACTATAACAAATTCAAAAGTCATTTTTGAGTATGTATATGAATTATGTACGTAGATGAATGGATGTTTGTTACCCTTTGCATGAACGCAAAAACTACTGATTTTCATGAAACTTTAATGTAATATACATCAGAATAACATATAGGCTATAATTTAAAAAATATATTATGTAAATTGGGCGAAATATAATGATAATGTCAAGTAAATATGATGCAATCGAAGTTACGCAGGTGAGCTAATCTGTTATAAACGAGTATTGTCAACAATTACATAACAAGTGGAGAACAAAATTCGACATTTTGATTTTAAATTCAATAAACTTGTTACTCTTAGATCTTCCTAAGGAAACATAATTTAAATGCTAGTCCTGTAATCCTATTAACAGATACTGTATAAATACACTTAAGTTGGCCGGCACACGTCCGTCGTGCTTGAATTCATAGTTTATGCCACCCGTATGTTCCATAATATAACAGAGTGTTATCTCGGAATGCCAGGTGAGCTCAACACCTCACATTCTTACGAGATATTGCCACAAGAATCTAACGATAGTCGGAAACGGCTTTGATTAAATAGCCCCTTGTTATTTAAAGTTCTCTTATCAATGTGTAAATAATATTATGTTTGTAATGTGAGACGTTGTCTTTTGGAATATTTAAAGAGTGCACTGCACCACGCGGACCTGTGTTAAATGTTGATAATATATGCCATATGCACTTTGAAATTATGTGCATTAAAAGTATCTAAATAAAGAAATAATTATTTATTTATTAAATTATATAGATTACTAGCTTTTAAATTAAGCCGCGGGCTTCGCTCGCGTTACTTTATCCCCTTAGGGGTGGAATTTATCAAAATCCTTTCTTGGGGATGCCTACGTCATAGTAGCTTTATGCATGCAAAGTCTCAGCCCGATCGGTTTAAAATTTACAAAGTTTCATACAAACTTTCATCCCCTATTTTACCCCCTTGGGGGTAGAATTATTCAAAATCCTTTCTTAGCGGATGCCTACGTTATAACATCTACCTGCATACCAAATTTCAGCCTCCTTTGAGTTATATATATTTAGATATCTAGACTACGACTATTGCGTATAGTAACAAAAGCATTATTAAGTTTATATGAAAAAAGATTATTTATATTTTCTGAAAGAATTTAAAAAATAGATTAAGTACTGTATGAGTTTCTCCACTATATTTAACTTTATTACGTTTTATATATATTTGGAATGACAATAAAGAAGACGGCAGTAAGTGGTACCGTCGCCTAAACATGATCAGAAACACGGACATCTCTACATCTACTGACGGCCAAGATACTACACATAATATTTCGTTGCCGTCCCGGGGGACCAAGATGTCATGCCTTTTATTCTGTAATTTCACTGCCTTATCTCTTTATATCCTATTATCCTAAATCGAAATACAGCTTACAAAGCAAGCTCATTGGCGGTTGAAATAGGTAATACCTACTGAGGTACCCACGCAAACTTTAGACTTTTTACAAAATCTGCCTCCGTAAATACCTGTTTGCAATAATCTATTTATATATTATGTTTAGATTTGTGATATAACGTGCGCCATTTCTCTTATTTCTTATCTTTATCTTTTACCCAAAGGTTGTTCGGAAGAGTTTGCTTAGCGATACGTCTGCTTTTTGTACTAATTCATATAAATTGATTATTTTATTTCTGTTTCTGGTGCAATAAAATATCTAAATAAATTGTTATAGCCTAGCACTTATATAATTATTTATAACTTATAATAAATAGTTGAAAGGAAAATGATCACATATAACTACTGTTGCAGCAGTAGGTAATTCATCATAATAGAATTTCATATACTAACAATATAATTTTAGTTTTTTCATGCAACTGGCAAGTCTTTCAAATTCTGCCAACGTCGATTCGGTCATGAAAGTGACACAGCAGAAAGCTAAGCCGAAAAACAAAAGAAGCATGACAGGTTTAATTCAAGTATACCAGTAGACTAGACTTTGTTCGTTCAGCATTACTAGGACAAGAAATTACAACACGTTGTTTTCAAATATAGTATAACCTAAATATGAACATACAAATTTTGAGTTAATATTGAAATTTAAAAGAAACTTGCCACTTGTAGATTACAGTAAAGTATACCCAAATCTGTTTACCGTGTTTGATATTACGCACCGAAACGCATAGGTCAGAGAAATAGACAAGAGTTCTAAAAATAATTGTTTTGAGTTCTATTAACTTCCCCAATAATATGTAGTTTGTATCTTATACTCGTATGTTCCATGTACAGCAGCTCTCGGCTAAATTATTATATGTATAGATTAAATTTAAATTTGGAAAAAGATTGGAAAAATATTTTCATCGCATTCTTATTCGATAGGAAGACATAATTCAATTCGCCTCGAAGGTTGTATAAATAATAAGTGCTATACGTCTTTCAGACCGACTCGGCTGGGTAGCGAGACCTCCAGACGCCCTTGGGCCATGCCCTGTCTTATACTATACTACCTACCTACTATACAACTTATAGAGCTACGACATGTGCGCGGTAGTAATAAAATTGAATATATTCAGATGTAGCCTTGAACTGTTTACGTCACGGGTCAATATTAATCTCAAATCCTTAATATAATACCGTTAATCGTTAACTCAAAAATTACAAGTTTAGAGAATTCAACTCTAGAATATTTATTTTTAAGTGTAGTAACTTACTATATAACATACATACATTAATACATATACCTAGATATAGCCCTGAACTTTTAACGTCGTGTATCACACCCTTAATACAACTGCATTGACTCAAAAATTAAAATATTTGAAAATTTAGGTAGATTTGTAAATTTTTAATTTCTAATGTTAAATACAAGTTTCATATTTGTATTAAGACTTAAATATTAGTTATTGCTTATATGTTTTGATTTTCTACGTCCATTTACAGGGTTAGTCGAAAAGGGTATAACAAGTCGATAGCCAGCTAGAGTAGAATACTAATGTAAGTGAACCTCTTTCATCACACTAAGAAACAAAGTGGACATCTGAAAAGTAAATTTAACTTTTCATACAAAATATATGACGTGACTGCAATACAATAAAGACAGATTTTATATTTATTTTATAATATTTAAACAGACATTTTTTTATCCTTTATCCGAAATATAAATGCTATCATTCAGTTTTGTTGAAATCCAATTTATAAAAAAGAACTTTCATTGCAGTTCTTTATATATTTCCATATAGTATACGTTTTGAGATAAAATATAGCCTATTCTCATGACAAAATCTATCATCATGTTAAATTTAAATAAGATCACTTCCGCTGTTTAATCCAGAAAACATAACATACAG